CCATTGCAAATCATGATAAAGAAGAAAAGCAAAACTACGTATTTCATCTGTTACAAGTACAATTTGAAATGTATTCAATAGATTTGTTTGAGAAGAATAAGCACCTACTCGATACCATGTACCAGTAACAATCATCAATGGATTAAATGATCGTTCACCAGGAAAATATTGTTGAACATAGGTTGTTGCCTTTCCAAATACAATAGTATTGCTTTGATTGGCATAAATTTGATAATAAACTTTATTACCCGATGGAATAGAGCCTCGAGTATCTATATCAGACCAGAAACCGGCAATCACGCGACGATTATCGTTAAGTGGAAATGGCGTAGGTACAAATTGAGATACAGGTCCCAGAAAAGAAAACAGACCATTGTTAGCTAAATAAATCTGACGATGGTTGTTATTAAAATAAGGAAATATTCGAGGTAATGGTAAAGCATCTGTGCTTCCATCATCGTTAGGTGGAAACATTTGATCATTAGCTGTTGGTCCATATGGAAAAAATTCATCCAGAGGAACACTGTGAGTGATACTAAGGATACAGGTAAAAACGAAAAACATACGAATAAGTATTTTCATCATCATGAAATTTGTGACTGAAAATGAATGATTTGTTTCGTCAATTTGCTTCACTCTTTATAATCTGCCTGCTTCTCTAAGTTCTTTCCATACATGTAAAACTCGAATAGTCGTAACGACTATTCAATAGTTGTAACGACTATTCAACTATTCAATAGTTGAATAGTCGTAAATTCGACTTTTCAACTATTGAATAGTTGAATAGTCGTAACGACTATTCAATAGTTGTAACAACTATTCAATAGTAGAATAGTCGTTACAACTATTGAATAGTCGTTACGACTATTCGAGTTTTACATGTATGTTTAGACGCAGAAATACTTCGTTTGTTTTCTTTCGATTGGTGTGCAAAAGTCACATCTGTTTTTTTTCCAACGGAGTTCACTTCAAAATGGCATAAACACTCTTAACAGTCACGAGTGTCTTTTTTGTCAATAGTTTGTGCATTATAATGCATCGATGCATACCCTTAATAGTTATAAAGTTTATTTAATGCCAACAAAAATTTGTATGTGATTTTGTTGGATATATACAAAAATACACATAAAACACAAAAAATCATGCCATCGTCTGTTTTTGAGTTTTATAAAATAGTTTGTTTGACGATGTCAATAAGCTAGAAGCATTTAAAGTGCTGTATTAGTAATCTAATAGATGAATCATTGAAGAACTCAGTAGTGTAGAACTCGTTAAGTCGTAACGACTTTTCAACTATTCAACTTTTCGACTATTCAACTATTCAACTTTTCAACCATTCAACTATTCAACTATTCACCTATTCAACTTTTCAACTTTTCAACTTTTCAACTATTCGACTATTCAACTTTTTACCTATTCAACTTTTCAACTATTCGGGTGTGAGTGTGGGGTGTGGATGTGGGGTGTAGGTGTGGGTGTGAATGTGGGTGTCCTTTTCATCAAAACGCATATGCACACCCACAACCACACCCACACCCAAACCCTAGCATCCCAGGAATGCCAGAGGCATCCCAGGTGATGCTAGTAGTATCTCAGGAATGCTAGAGACTTCCCAGGTGGTGCTAGTAGCATCCCAGGACTGCTAGTAGCATCTCAGGAGTGCTAGAGGCTACCAAGGTGAGCCTATTAGCATCTCTGGGATACCAGAGACATTCCTGGTGATGCTAGTAGCATCCCAGATGAAGCTAATACCATCACAGGTATGCTAGAGGCTTCCCAGGTGATGCTAGTAGCATCTCATGTAATTTCAGACTGGTAGGCACAACTAGGAGGCATTAGCATTAAGAATTAATGCTAATTTAATGCTAATACCTTGCATTAATTAACACTAATGCTATTAATGCCAAAGCATTAGTATTAGCATTAACTAATGCTAATGCTAACACTAATGCGACACCCCTGCCCACACTCCACCCCACACCCACCCACACCCATACCCCACATCCACCCACACCCCACCCCACACCCACACCCTAGCCACATCCGCCGCCCACACCCCGCACCGACATCCACACCCACACCCACACCCCAACTATTGAATAGTCGTTACGACTATTCGAGTTTTACATGTATGCGTCTAAATTATTCTTGGTAAAAGTTTTTGTTTTGCGATGACGCTTGAAAGGTGGATGTAAGTCTGGGTAGGAAGAGAGAAAGGAAGAAAGACTGATGTAATTATTTGTGTAGAGGTGATGGTATGTATCTTTTCATCCACCCATTTCGTGCAGATACTCACACCCCATACCCTCAAATTCTCAATTTTCTATTCATCATTCAATGCTTAAAAACATAATTTTTGTTATGTGATAATAGGTAACTAAAGTCACAGAGTGGGTGTGAGGGTCGGTTTTATTTCGGTGTGCATCGATACCCATATCTTAATTGTGGAATTGCCGAACTGATGCAATAACAGTGCCAGATCAAGTCGAAGCTGAAAATAAATATCACTATTCGACAGAGTATAAATCGACGATCTCGGAAAAAGTTTTTTAACTTCTAGAGACAGTTATCTAGGACTGTCGGCCTTGCATAGATCGAAAGAGAAGACTTTTTCTATCAGACAGTCTTTCTGAAAGTCTGACTTGACAGAAAAATAGCTTCAGAATATCGTTTAGAAAACTATCTACTAAGAATGTATCTGACTGGTTAATGGCTGACCAATACAATTTTGATATACTTTGATGGTCAGGAGTGTTCTCTCAGTTCTATTCGTACTTGACTTATTGTAAAAATACACATGATCATTCGTTTTTTTTGACAGACAGAAGTTGCTGAAGAAGAACCGATTTAGCCTTTCTGAACAATGAAAAATAATGAAGAAGTTATGAATTAGATTCAGTTTAGATGTTATGTTTATTCTGTGTTGATGTTTCAAGGGTGTGGATGTGACTGAGGTGTGGATGGGCTAGACTCTCCTCTTCAATGACACTCACATCCGACACCATAGACGGCGGTGGGTGGGTGTGGGTGTGGGTGTGGGTGTTTCCTTCTTTACATCCACACCCATCGATACCCACCTACAGTTACAGCCACACTCCACACATTCAAGATAATATTTCCTTATCAGATAAGCGAATGCAAAACATAAATCTGGTGATGGTATACTGGAAGAAAAATACGAGTTTTTATGAGTTTTATTTGTTCCATCTCAGTAGACAGTGTTCTTTAAGGTGCCATTGGTTGTCATGGCTTTTTTAAGCCCCCGTCCCCTGTCAAAAATCTATTTTTGTAGCAGAACAATCGATCCAGCAGAAATTTTCAGGAAATATGAGTGCGAGCCTAGAGAGCTTACCGTAAAAATTTCAGCTTGAAACATTGAGTTCTTCAAGATTTACCCCTATATCAAGGGTCAAAAAGTAGATCTCTGTGTGTCCTAGATTTCTTTCGCAAATTTATTGATACTGATTTCGGGTTGGCGTCAAGAGGTAGCTAACACTTGCCGCTACAATTTAACAGAACCTGGTTTTGTAAATTCTTCGTTGTTAATTTTGTGTGTCTGCTTTTCTTGAAAAGTTCGAAAAAACAGGAATATGTCTATGAAAAAAGATCCATTTTTCTGAAAAACTAGATCCAAAATTTTAAAAAAATCCGTCGCTGCTAAGTTGTTGAGCATAATTTTCTCTTCAATTTAAAACCTTTATGAACTTTCTATCATGTGAAATGGCTGAGAATCTGAGACGCACGAACAAGAGAAAAACAAAAAAAAATCTCGTTTTAAGAAAAACGACAAACAAAGTTGAACTTTGAAAATCCAGCTTTTTTTTCTTTTGTAGACCGATTAACGAGAGATCACATCGAGGAAGCGCATGAAACACACTTGCTAGAGCATACAGGATGTGTTCTCGAGGTCTGAAGCCTATATACAGAGTCATAGAGCTTCAAAGACTAAAATTTAACAAAAATTTTTTGCTTGTAAGCTTTCCAGAAACCATCGTAAAAACGAAGAATAATAGTGATTCCGAAAGTAGAAAATGTGGACTATGCGACTATATAGAAATCTTAAAAATCGATACTTTTGACAGGGTGTTTAAACATTATTCAACATATTGAATCCTCTAGTTTTGATTCATTTTGATTTTGTCATATCTTCATTTGCAGAAAATATTGCAAGTTTTAAAAAGTGTATTGTAATGACTGTGACGAACTTGAGTACAGGAATACCCGTGTGGTAAATATGTGCATGTTATTGTTAATATCTTCAAATAATATCTAATCTAATCTCTTCACATACACATATTTATATTGGTATGCATAGAAAAGGTCGAAAGAAAAAACATCGAAAAAAAAA